TGCTGATAGTGTTCTCGTAGCATTAAAGGAAGGAATCCTGGCTAAACTGTACATTTATTTTAATATTACTGAGTATAATTTCTTACAGGATGTTAATTCTAAAAAAAAAAATCTAATCAGAATTTTACCTTTTTTTTTTTTTAAACATTGCTTCTTCTCTGCCTACATGCTCAATTTAAGAGATTATGTAACATCACGCTGTGGTGTAGGAGTTTTTGTTTTATGATTACTATAAGAGCACATGAGTACAGTATCAGACTGGTTTTGGTCTAAGCATCCCTAATGATCTTAAAAATGAATTAGAACAATGTTAAAGTTGTAAAAACTTGTATTTGTAATACAAAATCCCCCTAGAATATTCCTTGCATGTCCTTTTTTTAATGAGTTGACCAAAGTCCAGCAGGCAGCCTCTGAAGCAGGCTGATGGGACCGGCCCTCGTTCAGTAAGGTCACGATGTGGGAGCTGATCTGCATGTTGGTTACATAACCTCTGCTTTGTCTTCACCAGTCTGTGCCGGTTGGTGTAAAATGTGTAACGCAGCACTTCCATCCGAAGTCCTGGAGCTGTTCTGACACACAGCTTTCTGTGACACGCTGACTTCCTGTTTGATCCTGCTCCGCTGTGGGTCTGCTGTTCCACATTACATTCTTGGATTGAGCTCGTGTTTGTCCACGCAGACTGGGACTTGGCCTGGATCCCATCCTGGCTTCGCTTCCTGGGAGAATATAGTAAAGATGGAATATCCCACTACATCTGATAGTAAATTCAGTGGCAGCCATCATTACTAAAGCATAACAAGAATCCTCCTGCGTTTGATCTTTGTTCCTGTGCAGTCTGGCTGTATAAACCCGGCCTGTTGGGACAGGTCTCACTCAGCCTGTGAGACAGTGCGCTGTTGTTTCAGAGCACACCAGGCTGCAAATGGTGGAGTTTCTTTTAGCACGTCTCTCCAGGACACAAATGGATGTCCACATTTCACCATAGGGGGGTTTAAAGGTCAGGGGCAGCCAGGAGGAAGGGCTTTATTGACACTCCAGGACTCTGACGGGGAACATATTGGCCTTTCTGGCTGTTGAACCTGTTGTCTCTTGCTTATCAGACAAACTCTGCGTGGAAGTCAAGGCAACAACATGTAAGCTTTTCTCTAGCAGCGGTGTTTGCTTCCCCTGCCCACTTTATGCATCTGGAGTCAGTGTGCATTAGGTGTCACTTAAAGCCCCTTTTCAGGCAAGGATACAATGAAACACACACAGAGGGCTGCGTAGGACAATTCTTTCTATTATCAATTCATCTGATCATTATTTTTACCATTGCTTGTTCGGTAATCTCCATCTCGTTTTGTCCACAACCCAAAGATATTTATCATTCTGACAAAATGACTAAAAACGGTTAATCCATTATAATGATAGTTCCTACATGGTGGATTGATCCACTGTATGGAATATATTGTTTAATGGCTAAATAAAGAATGAATATTAACTTTGATGTAAAATTAGCTTTTCTTTTCATACTTTTTCCAAACATACTTTTCCCTGACATCACCTTTTTCCAACGGAGTGATTCAGGTAAAATAACAGAGTGCTGTAATAGTGGCAGAAAGGAATGGATTTCCAGAGTAAAACGTAGCCCAGGGAATGATGTAAAGTGTTCCTATATGAATATGACTCACGCTGGCACCCACAGTCACATGAATCCATATTATCATCTGAATGAGCGCAATTCCGGTAAAGTGACGCAGTGGGCTTGTTCCTGCACGCAGCAGCAGCAGACTTTCATCTGAATGGCAGCGAGGAAATGAAGAGCCAGTAGTCACCATTTTAAGGCTTAGGATTAGGTACACACACACACACAGGATCACAGCTCCCCTGTGTCCATGTATAGGGTTTAAATGGGGACTTAATGGAGCAGTGGTCCCCGACTACTTGTACCCCAGGGGTTACTCCTATGGTTGCCAGCGGTTATGTGGAAAGATTGTAGAGTAGTATTTGAAAAATGCTGATTTGATTAAAGGATATATCCATATATTTGTGCTAAGGAGGAAAATAAACACAGAAATATGATCGTCTCTTATATGAGTAATAATAAAGCTTTTCTTTTGAAGACAGAATGGAAATGAATAAAGAGAGAGCATTTAAAAACAGTCTTCATCAGCCCACCTCGGTGCTGAGAGGAATCACAGTAAAATGGCCGCCCTTGTTTGAAGCCCTTGTGCAGTCACAATGGGGCCTTCCCTCCCCTCCTCCTGCTCATACGGGCTGCTCTTACAGGGAGAGGCAGAGGGGATTACCTTCAAACACACAGCGTTACTATGCCAAGTATTTGAGAACACACACATATAATGGTCAGGGGCCCCGGGCAGGCTGAGCCACCAGCTAACCCTTAAAATGAAGACCCCCGCCATACGAGACTCAGATGGAAGTAATTATGAGGAGAACTCATGATGTCAGCAGAGCTGTGTGTGT